GTTCAGTTGTGTTCCTGAGCTGTCGGGCTGTTAACACGCAGCACGTCTCAACGTCTTGTGCAACATAAACAGAACATTTTCTTTTGAACATGTTTCCAAGCTGCAGAACATTTGTCGTGTGTTCTGTGTTGAGGTGGGGAAGGTGAACTCTGCATTTGTCAAGTTCAAACTAAACTTCACTTGCCAGAAATGCGTTCTGGAAACTTGCTCGGTTGTCGTGCTTCTTGTTGCGTTGCTTGACTGAGGCAGTGTGTTTGTTTCACTCAGCTTTTGCCGACGCTGCAGTGGCCCCCATTGATTTCCCCATCGCTCCTGCGTTCGCTGTACCAAAGGTGGGTGTAGTTTGGCTTTCTGTGTTGTGATGCATGTCGAGTATATCATATCAGGAGGTCATGGAACTGTTGTTTTTACTCTCTAATGCATGTTTACTGTGCGGTGTTTATTATAATGTTCTCATGTTAAAGTCCAAAGGAGGGAGAATTACTTTGCCAAAACTGCAGCGATGCGCTCCGTCTGCTCCACACAACTGTGCTCATGAAGGACTGTTAGAACGCTGCCTCTGTGTGTCCGTCAGGTGCTGGCGGCAGCAGGGCTGAAGAAGGAGGACATCTCCATGTGGGAGATCAACGAGGCCTTCAGCGTGGTTGTGCTGGCCAACATCAAGATGCTGGACATCGACCCCGCTAAGGTCAACGTCAACGGAGGAGCGGTTTCCCTGGGACATCCCATCGGGTAAGCAGCTGAGAGGGACAGTCTGGATTGGAGGGACGAGAATAGAAGTGCTTCACTCATCCCAGAAGGAGATGAGCTGAGGTGACCAATGAGGTGTGTCCTGTGTTCTAAACATCTCTGCTGTTTCTTCTGCCTCTCCCTCCTCTCTGTGATGCAGAAACAGATTTTTGTTTTAGTGATCCAATAAAGTAGGAGACAGAGAATCAAGTATACAGGTTAATCCATATTCAAACCTTTCCCACGACATCTTAGACAATAAATCACCTAAACTAGAGTCACAAGGATGGCAGATAGAGTGGTGACTCAATAATCGACCCTTAACAATCCTAAACCTGCTATC